AGTGTTCACACCAACTGGTCGCCGAGCTGCATTCGCTATTTCATCACCATTGCTGATTCTTCTCTAGAGTTTATATATTTTATATCATGTACTACCCATTCTACATATTTATATTGCAGGATCATCGTCCAGGTGGTCGGACCACCTGGTGCTCGGACTTCTCCACCGATCAACTGGTCGAACCGCTAGGTTCATGGACTTCATCGCCGACCAATTGATCGGACTGTTCGTCGGTCGCTTCTACTCAATGCTCACTTCGCCGTCGACCAGTTGACCGGACTGTTCGTCGCTCGTGCTTCATCGCCAGCTACGCCGAGGACTCCTCGGTGCTCGGACATCGTCAACTACGCCGGGAACTCCTCGGTGCTCGGACATCGCTAGCTACGTCGGGGACTCCTCGGTGCTCGCCAGCTACGCCGGGGACTTCTCGATGCTTGGACATCGTCAGCTACATCGGGGACTCGTTGGTGCTCGGACATCGCCAGCTACGCTGGGGACTCCTCAGCGTTCTGATTCTTCGTGCAATCATCGTCAGCTAAGCTGAGGACTCCTTTGGTGGTCAAATCTTGCTATGTCTCATCGGTGTGCTGTCAAGCTGCTCCATGCTGTTCGGATTAGGGTGCTGATCTTGGGCAGCACGTTTGGGGTCTTGATACGCGCATGTCAGATGACATTGGCAAGCTTTCAGACTTCTTTTCTTTGACCCTGCTACAAGATTCATTCTTCATCTTTCAGCAGGCTCGGGGAATAAGTGGCTACACTTCACCTAGTGGTGAATGTAGTGCTTATTTCTTGATTTATCCTCCTCATTGACGGAGTCTAAGTGGCTACACTTCTAGGGCGGTGACAAGAAGGAGCTCAAGCTGCGTGTCCCTGACCTCAGGTGCTCCTACCCGCCGCAGTTCCCTCGTGATGACCATGGAGGGCGGAGGCCATCGAGGAGCTGTTGGAGCTCGCCGAGTCTCGCCGCTGCCGACCTCTCCAACGACGAGCAGGGGACCTTAGCCGCCGCCGCCACACCAGACTCTGAGGTCCCGAGCCAGGCAAGCGAGCACGCGGGTCGGGGCGGCGGCGAGCGGGCGGCCATGTCGGTGAGTTGCGACCTCAGGTTTTGAATGTTTGGGTGTCTAGTAAGACTTGCTTGTCATTCTCCTCCAAGAGAAACACACATACACCTACCAATTCCATCCGATGTCATTTTTTGTCACAAAGTGGTGTGCATGATATTAGTGTCATCAATTGTAAAGGTTTGGTTAATTTATTCAGTGTAAGTTGTGCCTCCTCGGAGATCCGGCGGTCGCACACATCCCACACCTTGATGAACATGTTCAGCGGGCTTGGTGCTGGTGGTGGCCTAGGTGCTCCAAATGCTTATAATGGTTAGTACATAGTCTGTTCTTTTAATGGAGAAATTAATCCTGCAGTTACAAATGCTCCAAATGCTTTTCCCTTTGGATGATTTCTTGAAGTCTTCTCATCAACAAAGTAATGTCAAAATTTGCAGTGCCGCCAGAAGAACTGTATGCAACACAATTAGCTTAGCTCCCATACAAGCCTTGGCCGCTAACGCTGGAAATGTTCATCAAGGTGGAGCGACTTCTTGGAAATATGGGCCAATAGAATATGATGATGATCATAACTGTACTCTGATCATGTTATCTGTAGTTGGCATTGTGAGATCATGTCTGGTTCATTGGTTTTACACCTGAGATTAAGAGGCGGCATCTAGATTCTGTGTTTAAGGATGAATAAAGAGTGTACTGGCATAACCTTTCGTATACATGTGGTCCCGTGTCATGTTTAAAATTGTTGTTGGTACATTGGGTTGCTGTACATACATATTAATCTTTTGCAATCTTATTTGCAATGTACATGGACAATGTGCCTTCTGTACAAGCGGGTGGGGGAGGGAATATGCAGTGCAAACCACGAGAACTCATAAAAACTGTATTTTGATTGCTCAAAAAAATATGAGTTGCATCATATCCCATCGGTGTCTTTTGTTTCAATAGTTGGGATTCCCTCAATTTTTTTAAAAAAATATGAGAATAATAAATTCAGTGAATTTGTCATTTTTATATGAATTTTTATAGAGTATGAATTCTAATTTTTGGTACAAAAGTACATCTGTGCTTTTTGAACGTGCATCGATTCAAATTTTTATTGTCATAGAAATATGTTTTTGATTGAATCTTAATGAAGTATTTCAAATTTGATAGAATTAACTTTGAAATTAATGCGGTCATAGAAATATGTTTTTGATTGAATCTTAATGAAGTATTTTAAATTTGATAGAATTAACTTTGAAATTAATGCGACCCGTAGCGTTAGCACGAGCAATATACTAGAGCAGGTGTAGTTCTTGAAATTTACACAAGACCTGTAATGTTAGCTTTTTCTGGTTTTCTTTCTTGTGCTCATTTCTTATGTTCTGTTCAGACATAACATAATTCTCCATTGTTGCTATGCAGATTAAGAATAGAGCAATAGCACTTCCTAAAAACGCGAGAAGCAGCGTCCCACACTCATCGAGCATACCCCATGCTCGGTGAGTGTGCTTTCATTTAGTTTGTAATATCGAAGACTTCTTGTCGATATAAAATATTATTTTAGCCGTATCACGAAATGTCTATATACGCTGCGTTCGCTGGTTTGAAAAGTTTAGACCAGCCGGCTGCTCTCCTCACAAAAAACACTGTTCATCTTTCATCTGCTGCAGTATTTCTCTCTCACACAACCAGCCGCTACAGTGTTTTGACTTTTTTTTTAGACAAGCGAACGGGGCCATAGTAGAGTTTGTGAGCCTGCGGTGCCGTACTCTTAGTGACTGTTAATTTCACAAACTTTATTTTTTGGATTAAATGTCAGTTTAATGTCTTATAAGATTGTAATCTTATCGTATGATCCATGTGTTTTTAGTACAAAAGTTTAGTTATCCCGTAACAACACACGGACACGCTACCTAGTAGAGGAAAAACATAGAGTCAATTCTGTGTGCCACTGAATATTTGCAATTTGCAAAGCACTTTACGAGCCACTGAAAAGTTTCCACGACATTTATACCTTTATTATTACGGAGTAATTAGCAAACGCACGCGTACGATGCAACGGGAGAAAAAATGCTACGCACCTATTTATATATGTTTTCCCCTTTTTATCAAACCAGTGGACATGCACGTGTCTAAAAAAGCTACTTCGTCATACATCGATTTATATGTTAACATACGTGTATATCCTCATATATCGATTTTATATGTTGTCAACATGCGTGTATATCCTCGCTCATCAGACAAACTTAAACCAAATTTATTAAATATATACAATGAGCGGTAACATGTATTCAGTGTATATTTGTTTATACTTATATATGGCAAATACAGGCATATGTGGCCACGAATTGTGTTTCCATGATCACGCTTCGTTGATATTACATTCTTGTTATCATATATGATTAAAAAAAATATGATACCTATAAAATTGCACTGAGGTCGAGACCCTTCAGAAGATAGTTTGGTATAGTAGCTAATTTGTGGTCATCAAATATACTAAATACAACAATACTTCAAATTAACTGAAACATAGCTAAACTCCCAAATTGTTAAATAAAAATTAATTAAAAAGTATAGTAGCTAATTTGTGGTCATCAAATATACTAAATACAACAATACTTTAAATTAACTGGAACATTGCTAAACTCCCAAATTGATAAATAAAAAATAAACAAAAAGAAGTGATAAGTTCATGATTAAATAAAGTAATATGATACATGATACACAAGAGGAAAATATCAATCCAACTGATGAACCACAATGAAACTAAATTAATCCATGCTAGAATAAATTCTTCCTTGAAAGCAGGAGCCACCATCATGTACAGATGATTGCTGGGCTTGAGCTCTTAGAACCATGGAGGCTGTAACCCTGTACAGTTAGCTAAACAACTATACAGTTATAAAGGATGCCCAAATCAGCATCTCGGGTGCTTAAGTTAAACCGATCTCTTTTACAACGCATAAGAAGAATACAATGGGTTTTTTAAAGACCAACTACCAGCATAGTAAAGTACTTTACCAGTTATATGTGAGGATATAGGAATCAGTTCCTCTAAACTGTTGGATAAATTTTTTCGGCTTAACACTTACGAAATCACGTCCGAATACCATGGTTTTTGCCAACTGCTTGAAACAAATTAAAGCTACCATTCACTGAAAGCAATATCAGATTGCAACTGAAGGATCTGTAAGATCTTGGACTTCAATATTTTCTCTGCACTGTTCTGTAGAGCACCACCATTGGCATAGATAAGCATAATGAGCCAAAAATCAATCACTTTGTGATCTTTAGTCAGTGTAGGCTGACTCTATAACTCAAATTCGATGTGTTAAAAGCTTACAATATGAGAGAGTACAAGCTGAGCACCAGATTCTTGTCACACAATTTTATCTTTTGCAAACAACGGACACATGTTTAGCTTTTAATCATACACTACAATTTTGTTCTCTTGGTATTATTTGCTTTGGATATCACTAAAAATGGGCGCAATTTTGCATCGCGGGCTTCTAACATGATACTACTTTCTTATGAAGTCTAGGTGCTGAACTGAAAAAAGTTTGCATGCTGTGGAGATATATTAGATTCCATACCATCTACCACAGTTTTTTTTAATATTTTGGTATGATCTGAGCAATGGCTTCCCCAAGCTTGATAGAGCAGGCAGAAGGGGTCTAGAAGAAGGATGGATTAATATGCACACATACTTTTTTCATCTATAAAATGTACTGGGTATTACTTGTATCTACTGATAGTGATTGTGCAAAGAACTAAAGTTAAAAGAAACTGATGTTAGAAGAACTCAGATAGATTCTAAGATTTTTTTTAAAATGGGATATTTGTAGCTACTTTGCAAAAGAAAATAGGAACAAAATTAAGGCGAGTAAAGTTTTGGGACACACCTTCAAATTCCTCATATGGTGAGGGAATGCAAAAGGAATGAAAACCAGTTCACCAGGCTTCTATTCCAACAAGGGCGTTCAACACCAGAAAAGCATGATATCTGAATCCACTCTTCTGAAATATCCCAAAAAGCACCACCAGAATTTATCAGAATCCAGGCAAGAGTCCCAAGCTTTTTTAATCAATGGCAGGAAGAACATATGAGCTAGCTACAAAATGAACTTATCCAGCGAAAAATACTGTACTTCAAATGCATAATCCTGGTCAGTACTACTCATACAAATATTGGAATTTCCAAATTGATTCCTAGTGATTTTCGGCATATTTACAAGCTTCAAAATGGCATGGGCAACCAAACCAGAGCACGGTATATATCACTTAAAAAAGTTCCATAAGCCAGGGATTTCCATGCTCAGCATATAGATTACAGAACTCTGTCATATGGATCAGGATTCAGGAAAAGTATGCATCTTTTCAAATGACTTCAAAGACTCTAAAATAGTAGTATAATCCACATATAGATCACTGTTGAGGCAACCTTTTCTTTTGGCCACTATTTGTGCAAATATCCAACTATGGAGAAGGGGCGAGCATACCTGCTGTGGTGGTTTTCGGTCGCCGGCGAAGGCCCCGACGAAGACATGGGCGTAGTCATCGCCACCGGTCAAGCACTGCCACCGTGCGGACGTACACCAGCGCCCCGAGCCGCGTGTATGCGCAGCAGAGCGCCGCCGCCTCGCAGATCCATTGGCGGAGGCAAAGTCCTAGGGCTCGTACTCATCGATCCGCGCAATGGCGATGCGTGGCTCCGTGGCACGGCAGCCGAGTTCCGCTGCTGTTGCCACTCTAGTTCGGCGGCTTGGCGCGGCGCGGCGCGAGGAGGAGGCGAAGCTGTGGGCGGCGGATCGGCGGGGTATGTAGATAGGTCGCTGGGTACAAACGGCGGCTATGTTAGGAGGTGGGTGGAAAACAATGACAACCGGAGGGAGGCTTCGGGTGAATTTCAATGGCAGGAACGCGTAAAGACGTCCACGCAGCTCCAGGCCCATCACATATATCATACTGTGCACGACTACACTAGCCAAAGAGATTTGACCTGGCCTTCTCTGCCTTCAAATAATTTACAAGCACGGCCTGGCCCTTGAAGCGTTTCCAGTGTGGCCCAGGCCTGCCCCGCAAAGCCGGTAGTGATATCTGAATCCACTCTTCTGAAATATCCCAAAAGCACCACCAGAATTTATCAGAATCCAGGCAAGAGTCCCAAGCTTTTTAATCAATGGCAGGAAGAACATGTAGCTACAAAATGAACCCAGCGAAAAATACTGTACTTCAAATGCATAATCCTGGTCAGTACTACTCATACAAATATTGGAATTTCCAAATTGATTCCTAGTGATTTTCGGCATATTTACAAGCTTCAAAATGGCATGGGCAACCAAACCAGAGCACGGTATATATCACGTTCCATAAGCTGTGCCATGCTCAGCATATAGATTACAGAACTCTGTCATATGGATCAGGATTCAGGCATCTTTTCAAATGACTTCAAAGACTCTAAAATAGTAGTATAATCCACATATAGATCACTGTTGAGGCAACCTTTTATTTTGGCCACTATTTGTGCAAATATCCAACCCATACCGCCCGTCGGCGAAGGCCCCCGTACCCCGCCCGGTCAAGCACGCCACGTATATAAAAGCAACGCAGCACAGGCGTCCTCCTCCTAGGGCTCAACCCGCAACCCTAAATCATTTCCTCCTCGGCTCCACTCTAGTTCGGCCCCCACTCGGATCGCTCTCACGCCTCGTGGTCTCGCCTAGCTCTCCTCCTCAACCCTAACCCCTAAATCATTTCATCCCGGCTGGCCGGCCTCCCTCATCGGCCACCGCTCGCCGCTCTCGCCTCGCACGCAGACGGTCTCGCTAGCTCTCGCCGATGGCGGCGGCCAGCTCGGCCAATGCCGACACCTCATTGCTCTCATCTGCCGATCTGCGGCGTCACAGGCGTCCTCCTCAACCTCCCTGACATTTCTCCTCCCGCCTCACCGGCCTCGTGGTCTACCTCCCCCTCATCCCTCCCTCTTTGCCTCTCCCTTCTTCGTCTCCCTATCTTCCCTATAGATCTCGGTGATTATGTGAGTTCGTTGTCCCACACCGGCTCCCGATCTCCTCTTGCCTCTCCTTCTTCGTCCCTATCTTCCCTCTAGATCTTTGCTTATGTGAGTGTGTCGTCTTCTCCTCCGGTGGTCGTCTTCTGTCTTCTCAAGACTGCTTCTCCTAGTTGCGTAGGTAAAACCCTAACACTAACCCTCCTCTTCTATATTCTTCCATTGATGTATCCTGATGTGATCTTTTCATCCTCCTCTATCTCTTTGCGCAGGTCGGTAGCCCCGCGCACCGTTGAGGAACAGTGTTGGAGAGTCGTCCGCCATGGCGGCTGCTGATGACGATATAAGAGCTATGCTGCACACTTTTTCTCTTTCTAGGTTTTCACAAACGTGAGTTTTACCTAGTAAGGTTTTTAATGAGGCAGCATTGCACACAGCTCATTTATCTTAATTCGGTGTCTCTTTTGGTTCCTTTTTTGTTGGATTTGGTCATTTGAACTTAGATTTTATATTTGTGATTTGAATTGAGACGATGGATGAATGAATATGTGAAACCGTGAATTTTGACAAGTGTTGGTTGAGATGATTTTTTGAGGTGTTTTTAGGTTGCCGGGCTGTGGGCTGGCATGGCCCGTAGATTTGGTCGTGCTTAGCGGGCCTGCACGGCACGAATTTTGGCCCATAGTGCCGTACTTGGGCCGAAGGCCAGGCACGAGGCCCGTAGGGGCACGGCACGTCGTGCCGTGCCGCCCCGATCCCTTACGGGCCGTGCCTGTCCCATGCCCGTGTCGTACCGGACCGGGCCGGCCCGATGAACAACTATAGCCCTGCATAACATTAAGATTTTGTGGTGGCCCACAATTAAGTTAGTGTACACCGTTAGATCTTAGCATAATAAATTATTCAAGGGTCCTGATATAGAGTGGGTACAAAACTTTTAGGTAACAAGTATTTCTCAATTCCTTCGCTCTTTTATAGTACTAGTAAATATGCGCATGCGACACGCACGTAGCTAACAGCAACATCTGCATCAGATCACCATCAGCCTCCCCAACTGTCTAGTAGATGCATGCGATGCTTATTCCCTTGCTTGATCCTCCTCCTCGTCGGCGCTTGTGGCAGAACCTCCCGAAATAACATGCTTTCCTAGGCGCTCATCTTCCACCAGACACTAAGCACCCCGATAATTAGCTACCTCGGACAGTTCCGTCGAGCACACCTAAAGAGAGAACTCGAAACAATCCATGTTTTACATCCAGAATCCAATAATGAGTACAGGCATACAATACTTAGTCCATTTCAAACAACCAGAGTTCTTGCAAATTATTTATTACAATACCAGAGTTTAGAGTGCGATAATTAAACAGCGGAATGAAAAAAAACATCTAGCAGAAATGATACAAGGATTCGTCTGTACCCACCAGAAAAATCCTCCACACAAGTGCTACTCCTCAAGCTACACTTGCAACAGGTGTAAAATAAACCCTGAGTACACAATGTACTCATAAGACTTATCCGACTAATGGGAATAGTTCCCGACTCTCAAGGATATGATAGGTAATATGAGTTTGATGTTTTCTTTTTGTATGCGAAAAACATTACTAATAGTAAATCCTTACAATCAAGTTTTATTAGTAGTCATGATTACTTCATTAGCTAACCATTCTAGGTAAGCACCTGTTCTACTTTCAAGCAAGGGTTGAGCAATCAAAATCATTTCACCATCTTTCATCTTTTAGTTCTTACTACGATGCTAGACCATAGCCAAGTCGTACCGTCTCATGAAAACAACGATTCACGAACCAATGTATCCTAGCTGGGTACCTCGAAACACATGCCCCGTTTGTACCCCAGGTACATTCCACTCCTGTTATGGGGTCCAGGTACCAATCCAAACTTGGACTTCAAGCCCCCCACACTTGAGACCTGGTCTCAGTATGGTGCTTAAACCTCCACCTTTCCCCGCCTCCAATCGGTCGGTCCGGAAAGAGCCGAAACCCATGACAAGAGCGTAACGAGCCATCCCGCTCTCATAAGCAAGTATGTGCTCAGGATAATAAGTATGTGACCTGACTACCATCCACAGCAACGGACGATCCTTAATCGACATGAACAGGGAAAACAGTGCAACCAAGCTAAGCCCCGTTGGCCGCGGGATATAACCTATTACACCCACCAATACCCATACCATATCCCTGCCATGTCTCTATTTTTCCTTTCATCATTTTATCATGGGAGTAATTATAATAATCACCTATTGTGAGTAACAGCAGGTTACTCACGCTACCAAAAATCTAAGCATAGCAGCTACTCGAACCTATACTAGTAGGACTCATAGGACAGTTATATCTATGCATGTGGTTTTATAAAATTCTTGTAACGTAAATGCACATCACATATATATTCAGTGATTATTGAAAATAAGGGTTATGCACCGGGGCTTGCCTTAGGCAGGCGCGGTGTCAGTTGAGTCAGTCAGTGGTGGGTCCAGGACCTCCTCCTACACGAGAATGTCCTCCTCGTACTCCTAACGATCTCCTCGAACTTGTGATCGTTGGGGTCACAATCTCCGCCAACTCGTTTTCTACATGCATGCGATGATGATGCAACACTTAGCATTTAAGCAACAACAACTCCTAAACAAAGAATATGCATACTAAGCTACTAAGCTAGCTCTAATGACTAATGTACTGAGCTAACTATCATCTTTACCAAGCAAAGTGTTGGGTTCACTAACAAATAGCTAGCTTTACAAATGAAGGATATGTCTTTATTTCTACCAATGATTTAATGTATATTTAAAACAAAGAGCATTTAACTACCCTAATGCTTAGTCTATTCTTAAGCTACTAAAATTATAGTGAGCACATAATAATACAATGAAGCTACTATAAAAATTTTAGGACTAAAGCTATCATCAATTTACCATAAAAATTCCTACACTATTTAACCTAATAATATCGAGCATTCTCAAATGATTTAATAGCTCCTAGTATCAACATGTACATATATGAACTAAATACACTTACAGATAGAGCACAATTTTAGTAACCTAACAAAATTTGTTCCATAATTTTTGGACACCTACTTGATTTTATATGATTTATCAAAGATCAACTCAAAAATTAAATTAGAAAACTATTTCTAATTCCTTATGAAAAAGAAAAATGAATTCTCCCACACGAGACGGCTCGTGGCGGAGGAATCTCACGGGTGCTGGCGATTTTACAAAAGAGACCTTGAACTTCTCCCAAATTACGACTAAGTACTAACAATATTTCCGCCCCTCTCAAACCTTTTCACTTAACCCCTAGCTTTCCTGGAATTCCCCCACGCGCACCCCCGACAACTCAGTGCATGGCGACGCTTCGAGCGGCGGCACTGATCGCCTATGCCGGCCACCTAGGACCTGTGCGGGCCCACCTAACGGGTCAATCACCATCTCCGATCTTGGTGGCTACGCTAAGTGGCGGCAAAGGGTAACGAAACTCGAAGGGGAAGGCTGCAGCAATGCGCGGCCATCCGTGATGGCGACGCCACTGTTCCGATGAGCTAGGGTAGCTATAGGCCTAATTGGTTAGCGCGTGAGCATCAGGAGGCTACCCTAGACCAGGCCGGGGTGACGGTTGGGGCGGAGGATGGAGGGGGAGGGATGGCCACGTGTGGTCGAGCCATGCAGCAGCGCATCGTGGTGGCACGGTCGTGTCAGGGACGAAGGGCAGCGGTAGCGGTTCGGCTAAGGCATGCAGGGTGAAGAGGGAGTCAAGGCGATGCTAGTGGTGTAGGTGAATTGGCTCAGGAGGGATGGTAGGAGGGCTACCCACATCCACGGCTGGACGCGGCCTTATCGGCACGGCGGTAGGATAAACTCCAAATTGGAGCTTGGCCGTGCGCGCTTCAAGGCTAGGTGGGGTCGGGCAGCGAGAGGACATGATGGTGAAGCCGTGGATTCGGTGAATTGAATGGAGATGATCGTTCACAGGGTAATTGATGACACGGCTCGGCGGCGGTAGCGGAGGGAGAAAGAGAGAAAGAGAGGGACAAGGCGTGGCAGGTGGGCTCGGCTAGTCCTCGCCTTGGTGGGACGCAGTCGACATGATCATGTAGGCCCACGCATAGGCGCTAGTAGACAGGCGTGTGCGTTCACGACCGGCGTGGCCCGCGCGCCGCAGTGCCATCAATAACAAGGCGACGACGAGCCCGACCACGTGCGCGCGACAGAGGCGGCATCGCACAGAGCCGGCAACAGCGTAGAGATGCAGAGGGAGGCATGGACATGACGGCGAGATGATGGCACCGGCAGCGGCTGTGTCACGGCATGGGGCGGTAGTGTGGTAGCGCGGTGGGGCCGACAGCAGCACTGTCCGATTGCGTAAGCAGCGGTGGCGGCTCCACGCACCAGCAGCCAGCAACAGCCATGCCAGAGTAGCCGTGTCCGACCACGCGAGGCAGCGCGCGTGCGCACGGGACAGCCAGCGTGGTGACCACGCCCACGTGACCAACCAGCCCAAAACCGTGTCGTGCATGGATTTTTAAGCGCCTATAAAAACTAAACGATTGCTTCTGGACCTTTACCATCTTGACCATACTCAAGATGGCATTTGAGACTACCAAATCGAGCTATAACACTTCACCATCCCTTAACCCAATCTCTCAAAATAATTTACTAAACATAGCAATGTCTAGCCGTTGATAAAATTAGAAATTTTTCTAAGTTTTGAGCTGAACTTGATTTCAATTTACAATTTCTAGGCTAGTAGAAATATTAGCTAGTAATATCATTTTTCGACAGCAAGTATTTCACTGTCATCTACAAAGTTTGTACTTCAAGCTTTATTTAAGCATCACACACATGTTTTATAATATTTTTGCTTAATAAAAATTGGTTTTCAACCCTACTTAATATAGATTAGCTATTGAATCAACTTTTGTTTAGCATTTTTATTGATCATTTTAAGTTACAAGAAATTTATCTATACATTCTATCACATGTATTGACACATAAATATGGTGCTCATGACATGTTTTAGTAAATGATTTAGGGTGTAACACCGAGGGTGTTACAACTCTTCCCCCCTTAAACAAAATCTCGTCCCAAGATTTTAACATAAACTGTTACCTCGACACACCGGGAGAAGATGGAGATAATGCTCCATAATATAACTCTGATGTTCTCAAGTTGCTTCGTCTGCCGAATGATTTTGCCACTGGACTTTATAAAATTTCACCACTTTGTTCCTAGTGACTCTCTTTTTCATCCAAGATTTTGACAGGATGCTTAATATAAGAAAGATCAGGTTAGAGGAGTCCTTCAATTTCCACCA